TACTTTTGGAACAGAAGAACAGTCAGAGCTGGGATTACAGTCAAAATCTTCATATGCCTGAGTGAACAACAATTTCATTTGCTTATGCTGCCACTTCATCAAGTACATCCAATGCACTTCATCAGCTAACTCCCTGTTAGCAGCTGTAGCAGGGGGTTTGTCATGGCAATTCCACTCTGTAATACTACTTGTTCTTTAGCTTAAAACCAGAGGAATAAGGAGGAAGATCTGTATCAGAAACCATTCAGTTCCACAGCTTTTAAAATTATAAACAGCTCTGAAATAAAGCTATTTTCTTGGTTTTGTTGCAAGTTCTTCCGGACTCCAACCCCACAGTCTCCACCACTAACAGCCCTTGCTGCTCCTTTCCTTAAGAGCCATGTGGATCACCTTCCCATTTTAAGGGCTTCTCTTCCTCTTTATTTCTCCTCTCTTCTGCCTTAGGCACAGGCTCAGAAGTCTCCACTCCTGGGAAAAGACAAGGCTACCAAAGAGGCAAAAGAAAGCAACAAGTTATTCCAGATGAGCAGCCTGCGCAACCCTTTGGCCAATGTTTGACGCATCAAAGATCTGTCGTAGTTCAACCTTTTCATACACCCTTAGTCAGAACAGAGGAAAGTCAGTTGATAGTTTAAAAAAGAGCCAGTTGTATTGGAAGAGGATGCAGGAACCATTCAGAGCTAGAAAGGTTGAATTGCAGTGGGGATGAGGGAGGACAACTCAAAGTTTTCTAAATAAGGAGATTAAGAGATGCCTCAGTTACTGACTACTAGAACCAGCATGGAAAAATAATTTGGAATAATATTGTTGAGTCCACTAGATAAAAATACGGATGGATGTTCAGCTCAAGCTAAACAAATTCAACCTAAAAAGAGAGCACATTTTTTTTAACCATGAGTATGAAGTTAAACTTCAAAAGACATTTACAGGAGAAGCAATAAGTCACATACTCTGGATGTCTTTCTGGGAGATCAAGTTTTAATCAAGCCCAAATTATTGGCCTAGGTACAGGTAAAATATAATGGACTGTGGTATGTGTCCCTGCAGGTCTGCCTCACACCTGATTCATGAATAAAGGCATTTTATAAGTCTGTGATTATGTGATGGATTCCTGAGCCCAACAAGTTAATCAGTGAGGCAGGATCTTGGCTGTATAACCTGCTAGATGTCTTTGGGAGATGGACTTGGCCTTGTTCCTCTCTGTGTCTTTTACATTAGCAGGTCCTGGGGTCAGAGAAATCCCGAAGACAGATCCTACCTAGATGTAAGCTGTGGCTGCTAGATCTCACAGACAGATCCTCTTTATACACTTTTCTGCTATTTCCCCATGTTGGATAGGGCTTTTCATTCTGAAGGGAAGAACACAGCTTCCTTGTCCTCTGGGTAGTACACAGCATAGTAGTCTAGATACACTGCTAAGATACAGAGGCAAGCATGATGTCTGAGTCCTGGGTTTAGACAAAGCTTCACATCAAGTCCCTGGTTCCCTGAATGACTGTACTGACCAATAAGTAACAATGTACAAATGGATATTGGCATCAGCGTGGTTTTTTTGGTTTTTTGTTTTTTTTTTTGTTAATGAAGTGGTGAGTTCCAGATTGAGATTAAAGTACCTGCCTCTGTGACCCCTTTACAGTCAGGATATGTCTAACAATCACATTCTCACTGGAGCTGAGAGTGATATTCAGCTTACCAGCCATTAGGGATGCAATTCAATTGCCCACACAAAGCCATGTAGAATCCCCAGAGCATTTGAATTTCTGCAGAAGGCTGGTAGAAATAACCTATGACTTATAGGACATACTCAACTCTTGTTGCAGCAGTTAGAGGCCAGGGAGGATATCCCACAACAACCAAAATAGCATGAGGGTTCTATATCTGGGCAGTTCAGTCCATCCCAGGGTGTCACTCTAGATGTCTAGATGTCTGATGAATGTGATGGGAGTTTTGACACATAAGTAGGTGCCCACTTTTGGGGTCTTAATCTGAAGCTGAGCATTACTCAGACTAACTATAGTCCTGGTGCTCCGTGTTGTGATCACTGGTTTAAGTCCCTGCAGTAAGTACATCCTCAGGGGTCTCAGGTTTTGCCTAGATGCTAGACTAAATAACAGGCTCATCAAGTGTGTGTAACTGCACCCAAAGACCTTATGGTCCTGAGAGCCCCAAAGGTCAGACTGGAGTTCCCCTAGGAGTTGCAAAAATGACTGATGTAAACCAGTGCAATCAGGAAGACTTACAAGAACTGCTGTTTAGGATCAATATGTCTAAACTATTCTGCCATCCTAGCATAGATCATTTGAATCTTGTCCTAAGAGTTTTATTTATCGCTTTGATATTAAAAATATATGTATGGTGTGGCTTAACTAAGAATATATATATATATGTATGTATGTATGTATATATGATATGATATACATAACAAACCAATGCTATGACCATCATCTATGATGGGGAGAAAACCATTTCTACCACTAATGAAGAAGAGAGATTTTTTAAAGCCTGTAAGGCAAAGGAAAAGTTTTTTAATCACTGTCCTACTCTTAAGAATGCCTAAAAGTATCTTTAATGAGAACCACTTTTGAATGTCTGTAACAACTATGGAGTCCTTCTCATCACTACACTAAGGTGAAAGAATACAATCGAAATTTTGTAACAAAAGTTTTCACTTCAGTCAAGGAAGGATCACTGAGGCAGATAAACTGGGCAAGGAACAATTACTGACACTAACTTTCTCACAACAATAGAAACAGAAGAGTGCACGTCTTCCACTGCAGACAGTTTTATTTGATATCGTATCTGCTACACAGTGACTGATGAAGTGAACAGAGAAAGCAATTGTCACAAAGCCAACTGGGAAGAGACCTAGCAGAAAACAAGAAGGAAAAATTGCAATAATTTTAAGCCAGAAAATTCACATTTCTTATATCCTACCTGCTAACTCCTTTCTTTTCTGCCTCCACTGGCACAGCTGATCCTGCTCTGCTAAAATTCTTTGTGAAATACGCATCTCAGCTCTATTTGTTCTACCCACATTGAAAGCCCCAGTGAAGAAAAATATTGTTAAAAAAAAGGGTAACAAAAGTAGATTTATTTGGTTCATGCTACAATGAGGAAGATGAGCCCTTGGTTTGCTGCCCTGCCCCTCTTGCCATTATTGCTGCAGTGCATGTTGACCCTGTGTAGGCATGTAGAGGCCAGCAGAGCATGGGCAGAGCCCTGTGTGCCTCCCACAGCACTGCAACCTTGCCCTTCAGCAGCAGAGCTGCAGTGCTTGCACCACATACAGTAGCACCACACGGCTTCATCCACATTATGCTCCTGCAGGGCAGTTGTGTTGAGGTTTTGTCCTGTATGTATTAGGGGAGGAACGCAGAAGGAACTGACTAAACGAGTGTGATGTCTTTAGTGGATCTAAACCCTTTTCCTATTTTACTCACCTACAGTGATTTCTTGCCTCTTGCCAGCAAAAAGGGCTTCCTTTTTTTTTGCCAGGGAAGCAAGGTCTCAGCCCCAGGAATAAACATATCTTGTGTCTCAAGGAAATTCTCCCCTTTTATTCTGGGCTGTTTAGAGGACAAATACCTCCCAGACAGGATCCATTTTTACTTCCATGATGTGGCTGTGAGAAAGGTGCAGTAGAGCAATACAGTAGGAGAGCTGGACAACATGCTCTTTGTTTCTAGAACAATGCAGGCTTTTTGCGACTTGAGCAAACACTTTACCCAGCAATACTATCCTTGGCAGTACTACAGAGTTCCCAGCTTCCATGGCCTAGGAAGGTAGATTAAGTTTCTCACCTGATTAATCACTCCAGTGGCTCTTGTCCAACCCAGGTGTCTCTGCAGAATAAAATATCATCACTTGCTGTGGTCACTGATGTCCTTTCCTGCTGCAAACTTTTTGAGAGTTTTGATAAAACCCTTTTTTTGTTGGATGCTTGTTTCCCAGTCACTACTAAACCACTTAGTTAAATCTATTTGTTCTCCAGATCAGTCTCACTGCTGCAGATCTCAGTTGCTGCCATCAACCCAATTTTGTCACGCTGAAGAATAGTGTGCTGTAGTTTTGCTTCATTTCTTGTCCTCCTTCCACCGACCTACTAACAAGTCTAGAATCTCCTTGCCCATTCCCATCCTGATTTTGGATTGACAATTCTTATTTCAAATGATATTTAAGTTGCTACAAACAAACTGGTTTTATGCATCAGCATTTCATGTTTTCTGCTTTCTTTGAGTAGAGATTGTCCATTGGGTATTTTCTTCAGACACGCTCAGCTTGGTGAGAACTCTTCCTGTCGCAAGCCAGCGGTACAGACTTTTGCTCATCTGCACAAGAGGGACCTAACTCTGTTTTGAAGGCATAATTGGAGGAGAAAATAATGATTAAGATACATAAAGCAGTGTGGGAAGGTATAAACCTTAGAACTCGAGGCATTAAACAGACCATTGAAAAACAGGACTCACAAAAAGTGAAAGAGGAACACATTTTTAGTAATCTGCAGGGACAGGCCATACAAAGTTTTCCACTAATAAAATTTCTATTCTCATATGTTTTTTCAAACTGAAAGTCATTTGCACTCAAGGATCTTAGCCCCAGCCCTGCACACCATGCTTCAGAGCAGTAAAGTATGAGGGACAGCAGATTCAAATTACCCCTCTCTAAGCATTTCCTCTTCCTACCATTTCAGAGGAAAGCTTTATGGACTTCTGCTCCCAGCTGCATCTTTTTGATGGGTGTGGCCCATCAGCTCTCATCCTCCCAGTGATGGAGGCCACATCAGATGTCCTTCCCCTCAGGCATCAAGTTAGTTCTAGGGAAGTTGTGTCCAAGGAGGGCTATAGAGGGAATTTTTTTCCTATTTCCTGGTTGGAACTAACTGGAAAAGGTCAAAGCAGTACCATTAATCACCCTGTCATGTGATAGATGGTGATGTCCGCTCCTTTCAGTGATTTTTGTTGCAACTCCTTCCTTATATCAAATCAAAAGCAGCCAAAACATAATGTCAGCCAGTAATTTATTGAGAGCTGCAAGATAATTCACTCTGTTAATAAAACACAGTGGTTAATATGATGAGGATGAGGCCATAATAAACAAATGAAGTCTCCTGACAGTAAAATGGATGAGGCTGGTTTCACTGGATATCTCTCAGTAGCTCTCTTTCTGAACCCCATTTCCTCTCATCACAGAGTTCCTTCCTCCCTCCCAGGAGTTTCCTTTCAGCTTCTGCCTGTGTGCTGCTGGAGCAAATCCTCCATTTCCAGCCTGCTGCTCTGATGTATCTCACTGCCTTTGACAGAGTGGGCGGTAGTACTTCTGTCAGTATGGAAAGGCTGTCAGGAGCCTTCCCAAGCTCTTAGGAAACACAGAAATTGCAGGCGCCTGTGTGCTGTTTCAGCATCTTCTTTTTCTCCTGTGGGATGGGGAAAAAGGGCTGGTTATGACGTAGAGCTGCTGAGTGAAAGGAACAAGTGTGGGATCCCCCATTCGTTTCACAGCATATGACATTTAGCCAAGGAGGGGAGCATTACCCCCCTCTTCAGCTAAAGGAGTCTATTGTAGAAACAAACATTAAGGCTTTGAGAACGCCTACCCCCAGCTGCACTGGGGGGCTTGGTGACACCCTCCTAAAGCACTGCACTGGATTTAGGAAGAAATATCTGCTGTGGGGAGGTTTATCTGAGATGCAGCATTTCTTAGCGTGACTATAAAGAGGAACTTGTGTGGAGCGGACGTCTCGGGCTCTCTCCCCACCATCCTGCAACTTGCTGAAGAGGCTCTGTGAAAATGATTCTTATCTGCAGCGTGGCAATTCTGTGTAGGTCTTTGTACAGCTCCACAACCCACTGGCTTGTAGATACTGTAGGAGTCCTTTCCACTGGGTAATATATCTGCTGTTCCTGAAATAATGTCTTCCTTAATCCTACTTTGAATCAATTTCATTGCGTTAGAGCCTGATAATACATTTTTTTAAAAATGTGGATTTTTAAGATTGGGACAATACTTTTGAAAGACCATCCTTTAGCACTTCTCTTTCTTTCCAGTTTATATTTCATCTGAAAATTATCATTAATTCTGGCGATAGAATATGAGGAAGGTCATCACTGGCAAACAGATAATAGCAAAATTTTGCTACCTTACCTACCTTGAAGTACATCTTGAAGCTACCCTAAAATATAATACAATAAATTTTTTTAGTGACTGAAACCAGGATTCTCCCCATCAAATTTCTATGGCAGAAGAACAGAAATAGTTGCAAGCTTCTCTGCCAAAATGGTAATTACACCCTAGGGAATCATCCAGTTATGCAGAAACACGGGCCTGTTTATGTCCTCTACATAATGTATATAACATAACTAAGGCACCTTTTCTGCTTCTTACAGAATAGATTGGTATATCTGAGTTAATATCATGGAAGCTGCCCTTCAAGAAGTTGCAGGGCGAAAAAAAAGAAACAAATGAATGCTCATTACAGGAATGCAGAGAAGTCACCATGGATTTCAAATGACAAAAATTTGCATGCCTTCTCTGTATAGCAGCCACATACATATTTCTGTCTTTTACCAACTGTCAGACTCTTAAGGGATTGCTGTGTAAGTCCAACTTGGGCTCACTACCAGCTCAGAAACAAGCAGAATGGATGATGAGGTGAAGAGATGCTCCTCTTTCACTTCTTGATAAAGGTAATTTGAGGGAATGGGAGTTTCTGTGTGGGAGAAAATGTGATGAAAGAACAATCTAAAAATATTTCTTTTTGCTTCCATAGCAACTCCCATGCTGGCATGTCTTTGAATTTGTTAATTCATTCTTTCAGCTCTCTTTGTGGGCTTTGTCCGGTTTGCGGAGCTGCAAAATGATCTCTCCGCCTGTGTTTGCAGATGTGTGCCTGCAGCCTGTTCTGGCAGCAGGGTACATCCTTCACCTCCAGGGAGACCTCACTGCAGCCTGCCAGTACTTCAAGGGGTGTTATGACAAGGTGGGAGAGTGACTTCTTACATGGATAGATAGTGACAGGACTAGGTGGAAAGGCTTTAAACTAAAATGGGAGAGAATTAGTTAGATGTTAAGATTTTTTATTTTTTTTTAACTCATAGGGCAATGAGACACTAGAACAGATTGCCCAGAGAAGCTGGAGATGCCCCATCCCTGGCAGTGCTCAAGGCCAGGTTGGATGGGGCCCTGAGTAACCTGGTCTTGTGAAAGGCATCCCTGTCCAGAGCTAGGCGATCTTTAAGGCTGGTTCCAGCCCAAACCATTCCATGGTTCTGTGACTCTCTGCTAGAAACAGCACTTGATAGGGGAAGGGGTAATAGCCCTTATCACACACAAGAGTCAAAGGACAGAAATTGTCCTCTGTAAACTGCCCTCTTCTTTGCATTCTGACTCATGCTCTGGCTGACCCGAAATCATCAGAAGGAAGGCCCTGACAGTTCTCATCTCATGGTGCACTGTAGTAAAAGCTGTCTTGCTCACATTTTATCTCTATCTCTTCTGTGATATAAAGGTGCAATTCTGAAATTTATGCTTGATAATGCTTCTGCCTTGTGTCTGATGGAAGCAAGGATATAGTACATTTCCTTCTTTCTAACTTATAAGCAGACACTTGAGTGAAAAGTGATGTAGCAGGAAAGGTTTTATTGCTTTCCATAACTTTGTTTTTCATATTTCCAGAGTAATTTTATTATTTTAGAGGAAGCGTGGGTGTTCCTGGAATTTCATTGAGGGTCAATAACAATTTCATCCCTACAAGGACACTTGTAAAACCTCAGTGTTGGCAGATGAAGCAATGCTGGATGAGCAATTGGTCTTGTTAGCACATATTGTGCTTCTCTGGGGTATGGAAGGTTCAAACAGCCCCAGCATGTCCACCTCTCCAAAGGCAAATGCCTTAGGCTTGATTTGGATTTGTGTGAGGAGCAGTTATCCTGCACAGGGATAACTCCAAGGTGAAACCAACTTTTTGGCAGTTCTGGTGGTGGGACGGTGATGCCAATGAAAGGTCCACAGTAGTCCATGTGAGTAGCTCTGGGATGAGGGTCTCATTAAACTGGGGGGGCCATGACCCAGTCAGGCCCTGGAAGCAGGAAGAATCTTTTTGTCTTTCTTGAAGCCCAGAAGCAACACTCTTTTAATCTCAAACTTCTGACATCAAAGCTCTGAACATTTCTTTCAGAGAATTGTCCAAAATCTTATAGTTCCACAATTCAACAACTTCTCTCAGACCCCAGAATTTATATCTTCCTTTATCAAAGGAGCAGAGATTTAGCTGATGTGGCCAAAGGGCTGTCCTTTCTGTTCCCCTTTTAATCTTTTGTCACCTCTAGGTTAGATGATTAAATTTATTTTGATCCTCTTATTCTTTTGACCTCAGTTTTCAACCAAGAAACCCATTAAAATAAAAAACCAACATAGATATCTAAGTCAACACTTATCTAAGTCAACACTTTCAAAGTGTGATGCCATAAAACAAATTAACAACAAAGCTCTCAGGAAGATGCCCTTTTAACAAGTTCAAAACAGCTGCTCTGCCATCTAGTGTCATTGAATAATGTCTGCTAAGCTCCAGCTTTCACTCTAACTGCTGAAACACCTCTACCACGTACTTTTCCTTCCAGTAGGCTTTTCAGGTCAGGAACACACCTCTATCAGTGGGTGACCAAGGGAGGGATGAAAATCATGAGCAGTGTCCATTCAGAAGCTCTCTGGTGGCATTAAGGTGAATATAATTTGTCTCTCACATAAAAGGACTGCTCCTTACCTCAAAGGCTAAGCTACAAAGCTAGGCACATCTGAAGAGCTGCTGACCTTCTCCCAGCGATTTGTTAGCTCTGTTTAGAATGTTATCCACATTCTTTATTTTAGGCAGGAAAACAACAAGCCTGTGAGGAAAATGCAATCCTTTCAAGTCTACCAGATGTTCATCTTGCCCCAGGTATTTTCTGCTTCGTAGTATGAGGTAATCTCCAGCAGTGAAAAATTGCCTGAATAAGACCATAGAAGTCTGAATGCTAGGGGTCTTCACTGGATGAAAGTTAATTTGGCTTTTTGCTTTGGGTTTTTTTTAATTTGGGATTTTTATTTCTTTGGCTTTTTATTGTCTCTTACTATTAATGATATCTCCCCCAAATTAACTTATATTTATTAAGATCAGACAAATGGATTTTTTAAAAACAAGTTCAAAAACGTAAGTGATAAATATTTTTGTCTAGTTTAATGCTGTAGGTATGTACTTAGAAATAGTTTAGAAATATATTTTTTTTCCCCAGGGCCAAATATTGTTCTTGTCTGGAGAATCAGATATGTAGCAATTAGGAATTATTCACATATTCTCTTTGTTTCTTACCCAGACAAAATATCCTTATTTAAATGTTGTCTTGGTAAATCTTTAGAAATTGACTTAATTTGCCAGAATAACTCCAAATTAAGATCAATGCTCGCTACTTCAATTGATAACAGATGTTTGGCTCCAGTGAAAGGAGTATGACTTTACACATCTTTTGAAATGTCACAGCTCTTTGTATTCACAACTAGAAGCCATGCCAGAGCAAACCAATGCTGTCAATAGCAGTGCTGAAAGAAAACACACAAAGCACAAGACAGCGCATTCCAGAAACAGTACAAGTGTGGTTTGGAAAAGCTCAATTCTGAAGCCACTAAAACCATGATTTAAATCCTGCAGTACAGTTATGGTCTGATTAATTTAGGGACTGATGAGAAATACTGCCTTAAATCTTTCTTCCTCAAGCAATCCCATGAGATTGCCACTTGGTGGGGACAGAAGTGTGATGAGGTAGATCTCAGCTAATTTTACTGAAGGGTTCTTTGAGTTTTTGAATTCCTAGCCCAAATATATGCTCATCCTAAAAAAAGGAATGAAAAAAAAAGGGAAATCCTTTAGGACTATAGGCACTGATTTTATCCTTTCATAACATGTCTAAAAGAAACATTCTTACAGACTCCTGTTTTTCTGTCAGGGTCTCTAAATCCACATTTGTTCCAAAAGCACCCTAGTCTGAAGTGCTTTGCAGAAGACTCTGGAGCCTCATGAGGTGGCTCTTTGAACACACAGAACCTTGTTGCGCTGTAGATAGATGAATGAAGAGACCCAGGTTTTCCCTTTTTTGACCAAAGCTGACCAAAAGACAGCTAGGTTTTTCAGGTGTAAAATGACAGCCAGAGATCAGCAAGCTTAGTGCATGGGATTTGTTTACTCTGCTGTGCTCCAGTTCTCAAAATAAATAAATAATCCCCCTCACAAAAATTGAGTCACGTTTTGTTTTTATCACAATAGTCCCAGCTGTTTCAAATAGCTGGCTCTAATAATCTGTGGTTTAGAACTGATTAGCATCTTATATCCCCTCATTTTTAAAATGGAATTTTAATCAGATTGTAATTCCTTGAAACCTCCACGTC